TCAGTTTGAAAATAAATAATGTGCCAGGAACCAATAGAGATGCAATTCCCAGCTTTCTGATGGGAGCTGTTTCTACTTGTTTCTAGCTCCGAAATGTTTTGCGATACAGCACTTTGAACCACAGCTACTAGGGGTGCTGATTTCTGACTATTTTAGGACTTGAGTGGGTAAAAAAAATCATTTAAAATATATATGATCGGATGACCTGGAGCTCAAGAGGAAAGGGTGCTTGGCTGGGGACCAAACTACTTTTGATTACAGCTTAAAGAGAGGCCTTTAGGTGCACAACTTCTTGTAATGCCTTGACGGACTTCCTCATGCATACAGGTTAGCTGCATCTGTTTCTATTAGGATTCCAAAAAACACACAATTTCTATATGAGGACCCAGGATTTGCTGAACTGGACAGCAGATTAAGATAACAAAATTCAGCTACAACTGTACTGTACACTGGCAAGATCCTTGCAATGGAGTCCCAATCTCATTAGCATATCCAACATCTTAAATACATTCCACTAAACTGCTGTTATGATAAAAAGCATCACTGAAACAGACATATCCCTTTCAACATTATACTCACTTTGAAGTATTCCCAGGGCTCTGGAGCATAACCTTCTGGAATCTCTGCAAGTTCAGCTTCACCTGCCAAGACAAGATGGAGAGAGGTTTAATATTATCAACTTATTAAAAGGAAAAAACAACAACCGTTTTCTTTCCTTTAAATAGTAATGACTAAATAAACATTTCATGCACACAGGACTTAAAGGACATCAATTAGAAATGCTTCCCTTTAAAAAAAAAAAAAAAAAAAAAAAAAAAAGGAGAGCCAGAAGTAATACTAAGCAATATACAACACAAAAAGAAAAACTGGCTATGCAAAAGGAGTGAAACTTTAGTGTAAAAAATACCTGTTCTCACAAACTAAACGATATGGAAAAAAATAAGAGGAAAAAAAAAATCTCTTTTAATTGAAACATTATTTAATTGAAACATTAATTAGAGATCTAACCCAGTAAATAGCAGGTCTTATGAAATTAAGAGGATCAAATAAAAGATCTGATGTGAACAATTACTGAGCTATAAAATGCAGAAAACCTTCATAAACAAATGGAGAAAGAAATGCTGGGTCAGCTAAAGACCACTCTTCTACAGTATATTTTTACTTATATCCACAGTTATCAAGCTAATTTTACTGGTCAGCCTTCTAAGTCATCATCACTGGAAGATGATCCTGCACACCATCCCATCTGCTCCATTTTAAGTATTCAATACAAAGCTTAAGTATCCCAGAAGGGCTTACCAATGAAGATGTTGATATATGTTACAAATAAAGCTGTTGGGATTCCAGTTAACAGTATATAGAATCGCTGTTTTGGGAGAGGAAAGGAAATGCACCAAATCAGTGACAGAAACACAGAACACCAGTATTCCCACAAACTTATTTCTTTAACAAGCCTCTCACCTGTATAGAAATACTAATATTGGAACTCCCTGTATGATTATAAAGATGGTTTACTTTTCAGTGCTTAATACTTTGTGGAAGTAGATAATTATGCACCCTAAGTATGCTTCAAACCCCATGTGATGCAGGCAGTAATCTCTCTTTTATAGTCTAACTAATGGAGAAACAGAGAAGCTTAGTGACTAGCCAAGGTCAAGTCAGTTTCAGAGCTGGAAATGCAACATCTAGTCCTCAGTCCTAATCTCCTATTCCAGCTCCTAGATCAGTGGTTCTCAACCTTTTTAGATACAAGGTGCTCCCTGGAAAATGCCAGTTCCTAGCTTTTACTCATTTCTTGATTAAGGAAAAATAACAGACCAATTCTGCTCCAAAGAACTCAAAAACCACAACAGGTCAGAATGTTTTTTTAACACTATGGATTCCTGTTTGAAATCCATAGTGTCCTAGGCTGCAGGCAAGAAAGCCAGTCACTGAAAATGTAAATTGAGGCATCAAGCAGGGAGAGACAAGCTGGGCAGGAGGGGGATGTAGCAGGTAAAAGTGGAGAGGTACCTGGGGAGCCAGATGTCAGGCAGGTTATAGTGTGTCATAAATCCAATGTCTGTACTAAGTCCATGAGTTTTTACATCTAGATCACTTCACACAGAGCCTTATATGTTGTTTTTACGTTCCTCTCCCACAGAACTGCAATTGGAAGGGAACTCGGGGAAAGACTGTAGTCACTGGCCAGCTACAGATGTCAATATCTTCCCCCTCTTCTCAGTTTCTGTTTGCTGCAGGCCTGCCTTCTGAATCTCTGAACCTTTTCCGAATCGATACGGATTCACTGATTCAGCTGCCAAATCAGGCTGACTCTTCTCCGAATCAAATCAGGGACCGAAACTTTGCACAACCCTATTAACTAACTGTAATGACACATTAATTAAGGGTGCACCGATAAAGATGTTCTAGGTCAATACTGATAGCCGATTAGTAACCAACCATATCGGCCAATGCTGATCCAATAACTGATTTATTCCAGTTAACTGGGCAGGTTGAGGAGCAGGAAAGAACCACGGGCGACTAATCCAGGGGGTGTAAAGTGGTAGGGGTGGCTTGCCACCACTGTGCACACCCCCAGGGGAGGCATGAGGTGGGGGTATGTGCACCCTCAGATTTGTGAGCTGGGAGGATGCAGGCTGCCCGTTACAGGCTCAGGGCTCTCCGCTCTGCCCTCAGGAGCCACACACTGCCTGCGCACTCGGCAGCAATGGAGGCAATGAGTTGTGGCTCCCACTGCCAGGTGGGCAGGGGGCATGTGGCCAGCACTGGGCTCCCTGAGCAAAGGCAGTAGAGCAGAGAACCCCAAGCCCACAGCAGTCAGCTCGCATCCGCCCTCACCCTGCTCAGCTCTGCTCCACTTAAAAGCATCTCCAAGTTTAAAAATGGTGGTAGCAGTGCTTGAACTAAAGTTAATTTAATGTGGGCTCAGAGCTCTCCATCTTGCTACCTTTGCCCCAGGAGCCACATGCCAGCCACGCACCCCCAGCCTGCCTGGCAGCAGGGTTATAACTTACCACCCCCACAGCTGCTGGACGGACAGGGGGCACAAGCTGATGAAGGGCTCCCGAGAAAAAGGCAGCAGAAGCAGAGAGCTCCAAGCCCACAGTGAACAGCCCGCATCTGCCCCATGCACAAATCTGGGGGGCACATGCCCCCCTGGGGGGGGTCCATGAAGCGGTGGGGAGCCACCCCTCCCCCACACAACACCTGGACAAGCTGCCTGTGGCTCCATCCTGCTCCCCACCCTGGCCCCAGGTCCCATGCACCGCCCTGGCTAGGCAGCGCCCCCAGCCCCACTCCCTCCCACCTTGGGGACGTCAATCTGCCTCCCTCCCCCACATTGGCCCTCACCTCCAGAGACTTACCTGCAAACAGCTGCTCCCTGTGCTTCCTGGCTGTGCTCTAGGGCACATGCACATGTGCAGTCGCACACATGCACGCAGCAGCCCCTGCGTCTGGCTCCTGGAAGCCCCAAGCAGGACCCCTTAAAGGCTAAAATACTGCCTGCCTGCAAGGGGAAACCCTCCATTTTCCGAAGGAACCCAGGCATCCTGGGCCCCGGTCCCATTGGGGAGAGGAAAGCCAGGTGTCCAGGACCCTGGCCAGAAGGTGTAATTATCAGTAAGCATTATCGATTACAATGGCAAAGAAAAGGAGATAGCCAATAATGTAAATTTCCCTTTTATCGGCACTGATCTGATAGGCAACCAATCTATCAGTGTTCCTTTAACAGTAAGTTTACTGAAAATAACTTACAATACATACTAACAGTACTGGGCCGGGGCCCACAATGGCAATGGTGCCGGCTGGGGTCAGGCCTGCCGGCAGCACATGGCCAGGCCCAAGGCCTGCGGAGGCAGTGGTGCCAGCTGGGGCTGCTGGTGGCACGTGGCCAGCAGCGTGGGGTTGGGGCCAAGGGCTCTTACCTGGCTGAGGCTGGTGGTGTCCTGGGGCTGGGGTCCAGCGGTGGCAGGGGTCAGCAGCAGCACAAGGTTATTCCCAAGCAGCCATGTGCTGCCTAATCTGGGCATGCCTCTTCCCACCCCTTGCCAATAAAAACCATGCGACGTGCCATGCTGGGCACGCGTGCCATAGGTTGCCAACACCTGATCTATACCGACATGCTATACATGCCTGCGATCTAGGAAAATTCAAGGGATATTAACACGACGGACAGCCATCGCCACCATGAACACACGGCTGACGTGACCTTTTTGCCTCGTCTTCCATTTGGCTTGTCCCCCAAAGACACAAGGCCAGGAACTCTTTTTCCACATGGATAACAGTTAAAAGTCACCGAGGACCCTAGCCCCGATAAGTCTCACCAAGGGAATAATCACGTTCCCTCGCCATAAAATACAGCCAGCTATTTACACACGAGATTTCTATTACTCTGAGCCCCAACCGCCCCAATCTAAAATATAGATATATTTTAAAAACTCACCAGCAAGCGAAAAAAACGCTTGTCGTAGTAGGAGGACGACCTGATATAAAACATCTTTTTCTCCTCACTGCTGTATCGGACCGGAGCTGCAAAATGAAGCAGGGTCATAGCATCACAAACTTTCACATTCAAGGGCCGGGCGCCGCAGGGGCGTCCGATGTGCGGCCCACGCTGGGCCATGCCCTGCGAGCGACCCCCAGCCCTGCGGCTGCCGGCGAGAGGGCTAGGGGAGCCCTGGGCCTACGTGGGCCTGCAGGGAGGAGGATCCCACCCCTCAATGTCAAGGTCACCCCGGGAGAGGTCATTCCCCCCCAGCCCGTACCGCTGAGGCCGCCGGCATTGCCGCGGGGCACGGGCAGGGGCGGGCGGCCGCAGCCCAGCACCCAGCGCACCCCGAGCGCCCCCGCGGCCCGCCGGAGCAGGCTCATAGCCACCATGCCTGAACCTGGCAGCGGGGCGGGGCCGCTGCCCGCTTAGTGCCGAGCGGGACGAAGCCACGGCGCCGCCATCTTGGAGTCGGGCACGTCCTCCAAGGGCAGTCCTTCCGGGCGGCGCGGGGCATTGTGGGGGCTCCGGGATGGCGGCGGCAGTGGCTGCGCTGTGCCGGCACCTCACGGGCGCCTTGCGGGTGTCGGCGGCGCTGCGGGCCCGGCCGAGCCCCGGGTAGGCCTCGTCGGGCGCGGGGGCTCCTGGTGGGAGGCGGGACAGGGCGGCACGTGGTGCGTCCCATGCTTTCTTCTCTTCCTTTGCAGTCCCGCTCTGAGTCCGCTGCCGCGGAGCGTCCTGCAGGGAGCGCGCAGGTGTCTACACGCCACGTCGTGCCGCAGGGGGCTGGAAGAGTTTTTTGACGACGAGAAAAACTGGGGAGAATTAAGAGTCAAATCCGGTGAGGTGTATTCCAGCCTTTGATGCATTTCTGTCAACCAACATAGATGTTTGCGGGCTGGGTTTTTTTACATCAGGATCTTCCAGTGTCAACCCCCCCCTTCTCCCCCCACCCCCAACACACACTGCAAATTAGCAGTACTGAG